AATATACATATTATGTATTAAAAAATCAAACTTAACAGTTTTGGAACCGTCGTTCATATTTTAAGTAAAGATGGCGCTTTCATTAATTAGTACATTTGTATTAGAAACCGAACAGCGCTATTTTTCTTGATTATGTCAGTTAATAAACATTTGCAATAGGAGTTCTTGCAACTGCTGTGACCACCAGCAACGCTCTTGCGAGACTTCAGTTCACACAAGCGTTATGGTATTTGTTTTAAAGTATTTAAACAAACGTAGAACGTTTGCGCTTCGTGTATTCGCCTTTGTATGGCTAACGCAATACCAATTGAGGTACCTCATATCAATAACACATTTTAGCTCATTATTGGCATAATCTAATTATGAACAAAATTGAACTTGCACGTGTCACTGTGTTAGTTTTTTACGAAAGAAATTTTACGTTTTGGTTTAAGTTTAATAGAACTGTGAACTGTGTAAGTGTACACTACACTACACTTGACTTACAGATAATGTTGACATTTTGAAATATTTTCAAAAGCATAAACTTTTGTAAATTAATTGCCATTTGTTGAGATTTTATTCTAGTTTACTGAAATACAAATGAACATTTTAAAAATTTTTGTCTGTCTATCTGTCTGTCTAATCTTCGGGATGGCTGAACCGATTGTGTTGAAACTTTACGAACAGATAGAGATCAATGTCAGGAGGGATTTAGGCTGTAATCGAAAAACATATTTTTTTTAACGAAAAATAATAGAATTTTTAATTTAGAATTTTATCAGATCCTTGTATAGGATAACGAAGCCGGGGTAGGTCACTAGTTAATTACTTAATTAGCAGTTATGTCACTAATGTTCTATACACATTTTGAGTTCCAAAGTTTATAAAGGTTAAGTTTATCTACATAAACAAATTATGTTAGGTAATTTGATGTCATCATCCTGAACAACGTCTTTGAAAACTTAGGTAGGTACTATATGAAATTTTCTTTTTCAATAGAATTTCATAGCTGCAAAAAGGTCTTTACTCACTTATTATCGCCTCGCTTGTGGGTCATTTTTATGTAAATTGATAATTAATACAGGGTTATTTTTCAAAGGGTAGCCAAATTTCAAACTTAAGCACAAATATATAAATAATGATATACCATTATTGTAGTTTTTGAAAATACGAGTAAATAAGGCTTCTACTTTTAATTGAAATTATCCCAAATTGAATGTGATTTATGGGCAACAATGTTTTGTCTACCGATAGACCCTTACGAATGTGTGCGTGCGCAGTGAAAAAATTTAAAATGCATTACCACGCATTTTAAATTTAAAACATAAAAAGGACAGAACTTTTGAGTTTTTTTTTTAAATTAATTTTTCTTTACCATTTGCCTATACTACTTATTCTGATCCCTATCTGCAAATTTGGCCGCTTTTTGCAAAATAAACCAGTATATTTACTTTCTCATTCATCATCATTCATTACAGCCTATCAAAGTCTACTGCCTAACCTAAGTAAAGTCTCTCCTTAGATTGCTTCTTAAAGGGGATATCTACTATAATTACCATGCTTGACAGAGGGATGGGCAACCTTAGTTTTTATTGCCTAGTTGTTATCAGTAAGGCGCTGCTGCCCAAACCCTGGTTTGTTGCCTTCTGTCGCCTCTTATGACACGCACGGTACAAAATGTGGTAGATAGTGCATATTTTTATACCGTCTCCTTTTTTTAATGTTTACAATTAAATATATAAGGTACGTGAGGGTAATTTTTAGCTTTAAACTTTAAGCTTTGCCGCCCTGTAAAAAGAAAACTAGGAGGAGGACAGAGATAAAAACACAAAGTCGTATAATATAACTAACAACAGAATGAAACAGATTAAAGAATACTATTTGTCTCTCTAACTCCTCTCACTTCCTCCGCTTAATTATGGTCATTGATCTGCCTGAAGAATGTTATCTTTTTAATGCATAAGTTTGTATCTTTATTTTATTTTTATTTGTCTTTATTATTTTTATTTTTTATTTTAGTGCACCATACCCATTGTTCTTTTTCTTATTTTGTATTTATTTCTTCTTCTGGGTTGTCTGGAAGAGATTGCTATGTAGCAATAAGACCGCCCTTTGTATTTCCCTCAATAGTTGTTATTTTTTTATTTTTGATGTTGTTATCTTTTCTTGGTGTACAATAAAGAGTATTGTATTGTATTGTATTGTATTGTATTGTATTGTATTGTAACATATTAAGAAAAAAAAAATAGCAAACAAACTTTTGCAATACTTGCGAACACTTCGAAAAATCAAAGTAAAAAAAAAATAACTACACTACACAATACTAAAATCGACTAAAATATTTTACTATATTATCACCTATCAAAATGGCGTCGATAAAACAGCGCCCTTTTGACCCTTTATTAATTGATTGACTGATGAAGAGCTATCGTATCACAAAGCCTTCTATGAAAATTAGGCTGTAGTTTTTGAGTTATAAAAAGTGAACACATTAACTGCATGACCATATTACCCTGACGTACTATAATAAAACTTATAATCTAATATTTATAAAGGTGGTAAAACAAATACTTAAGAAAAGATTATTACATGGTAGAGCCATGCTACAGCTATATTAATTGTATATTAGTAGTACGAAGGGGTCGACTCGACCGGGGAGGGACCACGCCCTCACAGAATACCAGCGTAAAATAGCGGCTCATTGCTAATGTATTTTGTATGGTGAGTGTAGAAAACTGGAGACTCTTTTTACTGGAAAAGAGGCATTCCATCCTAGTTCTTATGGCTGACAACGCATCTGCATCTTGATTCGCATACGAGGATAGATGTAGATGTCTATGGGCCGCAGCAACCACTTACCATCAGGTGGACTATGTGCTCTCTTGTCACCCTTATCCTATAAAAGTAAGAGTTGATTTGAAAATATTTCAGTCAATAATATTTGAACCGTCGTTGGAAAAGGCTACCGCCAAACAGAGTAATATATACTGGGAGCAGGTGACACTTAATTTGTGGTAGTACATTCATCGAACGGCTAGCCTGTTGCTGTTGCTGCTGTTGTTGGAAAGCTACGCAATGTTTAGCCACCTGATTAAATTAAATCATTAGTTTGCTAGTTGTGTACGAGATTAGTTAGTGTCAATTAAAAAAAATGCCTATGAAAATAGTGAGTTTTTTTTACAAAGAAACATTGACTAATTAAAATAAGAAGCGGTATCTGACAATTTATTTAACTAGTTAATAAGGCGGCTAAGCCGTTAATTGGACGATGTCACATCTTGGGAAATAACTATTAAAACCGAATTAGCAGAAAATTCAGCCGTTTACATTCAGCCGTATCATAAAAAGCCGACTATTTCATTGTAAAGTTAATATTAAAAGGTGTCGAGGTAGACCGAGACTAACTTTCGAAGACCATGTGAGCAAATTGCTCGAAGAGGGTAGAGTCAAGAGTACTCGGATACCTAGACGTGCATGTATGAAGAAGATAATAAACCTGAAAGAAGCGAAAGAGGTATGTAAGGATCGTGACACTTGGCGATCTGTTCTCTCTGGCTACCCCGTCAGGGATTGTGCGTGAAGATAAGTAAGTAAGTATTTCATTGTAAATCGATAATAAAATCTACAATAAAGGCGTACAATTGAACGCATGCGTTCAACTAACGGCTTAGCCGTCTAATTAACTGGCTGAATAAATTATCTAAAGCTTCCTTAGCAAAATTTAAGTTTCGGCCGTTGTTAGATCTGCATTTATGTTATTGTAATGCAGTGACAACGCTACCGCAATATGATATACTAAAACAAATCAGATTATAGTTGAAAATTAAAAACACGCGGTTTAAATGCATTTTTTTTTCTACATATTGGAACTCCTATTCTGCCTAGGTCCGTCTGGGCAAGCCGCCCAATAGCAATGCCTTGCATTGCTGTGTTTCGGCTGAAGATATAGAAAGCCAGTATAACTACATTCTATGAGTTATTTCATCTTAGTCCTCAGGGGTGACAACATCTGTAGTCTTCTTAGTATTAAGTTGGATTCAAGTGTTTATGAACGGGAGCAGCGACCTACCAGATCACTTGAGTTTTATAAAAAAATGCAGATACTCGTATGTTTTATCTATACAAAAATAAATTTAAAGTTATTTAGTTTCTGATTCTTATTATTTATTCTATTTCCCTCTTTAGTCGCCCTCAACCCGTAGCTACTGGTGAACATGTTGAGTCTCTTCCGAAGAAGATCGTTTTTCGATGGAAAGTGGATGCAGAGGTCCAGAAATCTACAAAGATATGTGCATTTTGATTCAAAATCGAGGAGAGCCTCGATTGAGAATCAAAATGTAGATGCGTTGTCACTCCTGAGGTCTCAGATGGAGTGCATCGTTTTCAGTAAAAAGAGTCTCCGGTTCTCTACTCTCACCATACAACTGACACTACTAACATAGTTATTTAACTTTTATCCGTCATATAATAAAGATTTATTTTAAATATTTTAAAGATAATATCAAGAATAGAGAGTAAGTTTGCTTATTTTTTATTTTGATTAATAATATCAAAACTTTAACTTTAATTTTGCTATTAGCTATTTCTATAAATAATTTTAAAATATTTGATTAATAGTATATCGCAAAGATATTTTTGATTAACTATTTGTTATTGACTATAAGAACGTCCATTTTGATCTGATCACATTTTGTGTTTTTGACCTGAAATATTTCAATGACATTTCTGATAAAATACGAGTATTAGTTTCCACTCAGTTGGTTTCCGCTCAAATTCAAACCTACCGCAGCGTAGTTAGTCAGGTAATCTGATATATTAAATACTACATATTATAGAAATTCTAGTTCTTTTAAAAGCATTTAGTACTGATTATAAGTTGAAGCTTTCGGTAAAAGTCCTGAATTAGCTATGGAATACTAAAGAAACTAGCCATAAAAGAGGAGAAGGATAGAAGAGAATATGGCTAAAACTAAATTAAAATTATTAAAGTATGCAGATTTAACTAATTATTTGTTTACATGCCTTCTGAATAAATGGAATCTATATGTTCACTCTCGACGCTTTGCAATTTTTCATCTTCCACTGGTGCTAACTCTTCTTCTGTCTCTTCGTCTTCTTCCTCTTCCACCTCTGGCGGCTCTTCTTCTTTTTCTTCTTCTTGGAATGTCAATTGCCTCGTTGGTCTTTCTTCTTTTTTCTTAATCGGCAATATTTCAGAAATGGAAGGTGGTCGGAGATTAGCAGTTTTGGCCAAGCCCAACTTCTTCTGAATGTAAGCTTGTAGAATTTGCTTGGTGATTTGGTTTTGTCTCGCCAGTTCTTGCGGTCCTGCGGAGAAAGGAGAAGACAGATAAAAATGACTGCGCGGAAATATTTTTGGGATAAGAAGGAAAGTAAGAGTAAGAAAAAATAGAATGAAAATCGATGTCATTTTTATCTGATTCTCCCTTCTTACCTTCGTGGAAGGAAGAATGGAAGATTCATTGCACCAATTAGGGAAAGTTAGAGGTTATGTCTGAGTGATTTAATGTAATTAATATAGTGAATAATGGTATTAAGTATTATGATGTGTTATTAGAGATAAAGCTAGGGCGCCAAAAAATGAAATTTCAAAAATCTTAACCTAAAAAATTTACTAAGTCGTGATTTTGGCATAGTAGACAAAATAAGTACAAGCCTAGAAACTATCTAGTTATATAAGTTTCAAACAAGATTATTATTAACTTACAAATTTTTATTTACGTCTTACCACAATTTGATACTTTGGGTTTTTTTTAATTATAATTTTAAAATAAACAACCAAACTTTTCACTTGATTATAAGTGGCTAATGCAGTTCATGGAAACCTGCAAGCAATTTAGAACGAAGAAAAAGAGAAGAAGAGGTGTAAAATGAAACAATTCACAGCTTGTACTTATATTCTCACAGCAATGGGTGCAGTGTTGCCAGGCTGCAGAACGGAAATCGTAAAGAGCGTTGTATCAACATATACGAGTACGGTTCTGAAGACAAATGAGCAGCACTACCACTAATAATTGCACATTTGTAATATATTCATACTTACAGCGATTTAACCCATTTACTTTATTCTTGTTAGAGGTTAATTACCTACTATACGATAAATTGCGTTTGTTCTCAACTGATTTCATTGGGTAAATATAAGACATGGATTCATTCATATCGGTCCATTGTCTACAAAATTATTTGTAATCAGAACAATGGATGTATAAATCTGTCTGTTCTCTTCCTGTTCATTTTGCAAATGAGAGGAAGTTATTTGGATTGGTTCAGTAATTTTAAATATTTATTGAAGGTTAGAAGGGATTTAAGATGTCCTTCTTAGGAAACAAAAGGTGTATTGTAATATTACGTATGAGATAAAAATTAATACTTGTAAAAAATTAGAGTTTATTATTATACCTATGAAAACATTTACGTTGTGTTATATTTTGTAATGAGAATAGTTTACCATAAATATTTACCTAGCTGTGGTAATTTGTGCAAGGTAAGTCCGTCTGGGTGGATACTCACATACCTCATTCTGCCACTAAGTAGCAATGTACGACTATGTATAACTTTAAAGAGTTGTTATAGCTACCGCATATCGTCCCGTGGGTGACGTAAAGGGCGGCAGAGGGAAATGAAACAGGGGAAAGACAAACAGCATATAACTGACAACAACTCAAAATAATTTAAAAAACTTCTGTTGCCAACTTACCTGCCAAGCGTGACAACTACGGCTACTATGGAGGTATCCCCAATAGATTATCTATGTAATATGTGGACCTTTAAATAAAATAACAATTCCATCATCATCAGAGTAGGAGAGAGGCATTCCATGTTAGTCCTCACGGGTAACAACGCATTTTGATTCGTAATGGAGGATAGATGTCTATGGACCTCAGCAACCACTTACCATTAGGTGGACTGTGTGCTCGTTTATCACCTTTATACTATAAAGAAAATTCGACTGCTGTAAATGGACCTCTACATCGACGTAAGGAGGATGTGCCTTAATCGTCACGCGTAAGCGAGACGATCGCAATGTCAGACGTATCGCACCTTTGAGGCTCCGCTGTTTTTTTTTAAACATTTGCTCGTAGCGTAAACGAGATGGTATATCGCTATCTATTGAAGCCGTTAGAATTTTGTGGTATTTCACGGTGTCTATGGAGTCGCTTCTTATGGCACCAAGGGGCGAAATAATATGATTGATTCTCTTACGCTGCCATCATATAAAAGGAAGGACAGACAAAATCATAGAGATAAAACTATTCGTAGTATAAAATTAACCTCATAGAAATAGAGGCTATTATTGAAAAAAGAAAAGTAATAGATAAAGGTTAACATGGCAGCACGATATAAGTTGAAGTGACATTCGAGCCTAGACTTCGAACTCTAGAATTTTTATCAATAAAATTGTTTTGCCATTTATAATTGGAAGTAATTGGACGTAAAGACTTAAAAATGAGTTGGGGAGGTGGTGTGACTCGAACTTTAGGCATAGTCAGTATGAATAACCTATCATGTAGAGGATTCTTCGTTCTCATTACACTCCTAGAGGGTCAAAAATCGAAAAATTAAAAATTCTTATATTGGCTATAACTCCGTCTCCTTCAGCGTTTCTTACGCAGTGTTTACTTCCAAGAAAAGGCTATCCGTAGCAATATTTCCCATGGATGATGAAAGGTATGTGGTGATTTCAACTTTAATTTTAATATGATAATTAACGCGAGTACATACATTTTTCGACTAGCCATCTACGTAGGACAGGTTTTTTATAGAGATAAAACTATTTGTACTATAAAATTAACCTCATATAAACAGAGGCCATTATTGAAAAAAGAAAAGTAATACATAAAGGTTAACATGGCAACACGATATAAATTGAAGTGACATTCAAGATAACTCTAGACTTTTTTATTATCAATAAAATAGTTTTGCCATTTATTATTTATAATAAAAACTTACTTTTGTTTTGTTTTATAATAAAAATATAGTTGGTAAAACTTTATGGTTTTATTATGCTCAAAAATGTTAATATGAGTTTTTATTACACAATACTGTTTTATTATTGCTTTTCTACGCGATGAGAATTATAATACCTTGCAATACCAGCAACGCCATTTTTAATGTTCTTGAGATCGATTTTCACTTTCACAGCGGTCTCTACAAAGACTCGCTAGTGGCCATCTAGCCATCTACGCAGGACAGGCTTATAGCGCACACACAAACATAGGTGCACTGTCTATTCCCACCATCGATATATATATGTATTACGCGCAAGATTTCGCATTCCGAACATACACTATGTTCAACTAAACTGTACTGCAATCCGTACAGTGTGTCATTTAGTGTGATTTCAATCTACTAGTTAGTCTGTGGTTTCAATAAACATATAGTGTGGAGCGGCGCTAATAATACAAGATTTCCTCAGAACAATATATTTATTGTTCTGAGAAGATTTCAAATTAAAGTTTAAATTAAAAAATAACCGCGCAGGCGCAACGCGCTTAAATCAACTGCGCATTCGCGACTCTCCTATCTCCCGCAAATGCGTGAAGACATAGAGTAGTGCACATTTTTTGTTTAGAATGGCTTCTCTAGTACGTAGTACATATATACATATATACAACTCAATGATTCCCACACTCTCATTGTCCGATGGGACAGAAATACGGCATGACCGGAAAGAGATCCCCGTGTGGTGCCGGCTTAGAATAGCACTACACCCAACTCTTCCCGTGGGTGTCGTAAAAACCGACTAAGAGACGAATCCAGGGACCAGGGACATAATACATACGTAGACATTAACGGCTCTCATAAATGACCTTACTCATAAAAATCCACTTCAATTTAAGAAATGCTTAAAGTTGCTCTCTCTCTCTCTCTCTTTTCACTAAATGACAATAAAAAGAGACAAATATAGAGATAATTGATACTTAATTTAAGTATGCGATAATTAACGATTATAATTAAAGCTAATAATTATTAACTATCGTTTACTTAACTTTAGCATTAATTAACTCTATACCTGTCTCTTTCCACTGTCAGAAGAGCAACTAGCTATAAATATTCAAATTTTATTTTTAAAAGATATTATCTTTTTAAAATCGAAAATGGAGTTGCGCCATCAGGCAATCACATACATTGTTATTTTAACGTCGTTAAAGTATTCTAAAGGTATTATTTTGTAACTCGGATCATCCTTTCTTTATTGTAGGTGTCAACGCGATTACAAATACGTTTACGTATGGCTTTAAAATATGGCACAAATGTATGACTTCTTTCATAACTAAGTAATGCAATGTAATAAATTAGTATAAAACGTTTATTTAATGCATAAAAAGGAACTCAATTAGGGCATTAACAATAAATTCACCTCAAGGTATTTTAATGCAAAGAAGTCGTACAGGCGGTTTTAAATGTGACAAATAAGATTTTTTTATGCGAATTCAAAATGTTGTTTTATATTTTATACTAGCTGGTACCCGGCGCATTGCTGTTGCAGAAGAAATAATTGCGGAAATATCAATATCGTTTTAAATTCGAAAGAGTTATATTGATTAATTAGGAATGATAACACATTCATTGAAATGCAATGATATATAACCTTTAAATAAATTTGTCACACCACCTGCTGTAAGTTAATTACACCATGTCCATAACCTTCACGCAAGTGCAAGCAATACGTTAACAAAGTTTTAGCGCAATCTGATGAACGGTATGGCAGCGCATAAATATAACCTTTAAATAAATTTGTCGGTACGATACCCACGCCACCTGCTGTAAGTTAATTACACCATGTCCATAACCTTCACGCAAGTGCAAGCAATACGTTAACAAAGTTTTAGCGCAATCTGATGAACGGTATGGCAGCGCATAAATATAACCTTTAAATAAATTTGTCACACCACCTGCTGTAAGTTAATTACACCATGTCCATAACCTTCACGCTAGTGCAAGCAATACGTTAACAAAGTTTTAGCGCAATCTGATGAACGGTATGGCAGCGCATAAATATAACCTTTAAATAAATTTGTCGGTACGATACCTACGCCACCTGCTGTAAGTTAATTACACCATGTCCATAACCTTCACGCTAGTGCAAGCAATACGTTAACAAAGTTTTAGCGCAATCTGATGAACGGTATGGCAGCGCATAAATATAACCTTTAAATAAATTTGTCGGTACGATACCTACGCCACCTGCTGTAAGTTAATTACACCATGTCCATAACCTTCACGCTAGTGCAAGCAATACGTTAACAAAGTTTTAGCGCAATCTGATGAACGGTATGGCAGCGCATAAATATA